GGAAAAAACAGCACTTGCTACTATCCACAGTCATAGCAGCAACTCTGAGAAGTGGTAAGCAGTCATTTGGAAGCGTTTCACCAGCATTCCAAAGGAAGCTAAGGATTAGGATTTGTCGAGAGGCACTGTCCAGCAGCTGGGCTCCTTTCCTCACACAGGGTCTTATGTAACCATCCCCAAGGTTACCAGCAGCTAGGGCTCTCTCCTTCTTAAATTATTCTACCACTCACTTTTGATCCATGTTCTTCCACGTGTCTATTTGTTCTCAATGAGCACCCTTTGTTTATAGGTGTTTGAATTTTGCCTGTACACCTTCTTTCCCTCAGGGCATGACCAGCCTGTGGCACAGAGAGTAATCTCAACTGGTTTCATCCAGAAAGATTTAGAGAAAATCTTTGAGGAAGAGGCAGCCTGTGTGTGAGCTCTCTGGAGTAGGCCTGTGCCTGTGTCCTTGCTCTGGTACATGAACATGAAAATATATGGAGCCTGATAAATATTCAGTGTCCACAGCAAGGCAGCTAATTTTACATGCAAATATTTATTCGTGGTTTTCAGTCTTCTAATGATGAAAGCAATACCCTAAGATTAAATCTGGTAGGTATTTGGAAAGTGTGGGAAAGACTGTACCCCTTGAAGAAGACAAAGGCACAGTTGATTTGTGCCTTAATCTCCACATACCACACCAGTGTACCTTCAATTAAAAAGAGGTCTTTCCTGTTTAATGACAGAGGCCAAATCTAGAAATATCATAGACCTGCTTGCTCTTTAGTGGAGTTAGAACAGTTTCCTGCAGGCCCTGAGGTGTGCTGACTTTATGATGTTTTCTGTGCTAGTATGAAAACTGTCTCACCAGCAACCCCAGTGGCTTGCCCTGAAAGGACACTCAGTGGTTACTAAAGAAATTCAGAAATTACAGAAGAGGTCCTCATGAGTATGAGGTACTGAGGCACCATGCTAGTAGTTAACAATTTGCTAAGATGCAGGCATGTTTGGTGCCTTGCCACTGTGGGAGCTGATATTGTTTGGGGCCAACAGGCTGCTGCAACAGGGTGCAGGCACACACACTGACAGAGCACAATGGACACTGTGGATGCTCATCAGGGTAAATCAGCTGGACAGCACCTCACAGACCTTCACAACAAATGTATTGGTAGATTTGACATGGCAGCTCCCCATGAGATTGCTGTGGCCAGTTTCCAAGAACTGATGCATGCTCATGCTTGAGCTATTGTTGAGAACGGGAAATGGGAGCTAGCTAAAATAATTGCCTGTCAAAAATGAGTCACTTACAGAAGCACAGCATCAGCCATGTTAGGGGAGAAGAGGGTTCATCAGAGACATGTTATCCACTGATGGTGTCTCATTTGAGAGTGGCCAGCATGGCTTCTTTAAGGTGCAGGAGGGTTAAGTAGGTAGCTGAAAATTATCTACTTGATGCAACTGGATTTCCAAGGGGCTTCTCAAAACTCTTTTATCAAAGAAGAAAAAAATAAGCATGTGTGGAAAATAAAACTGCATACAAAAATCAAAAGGGAAAAGAGGATTAATGGTCATTTCTTTGTGCAATAACTAGTCAAATTCTGCATGGAATGGTGCTGAAACTGTTACTGTTTAAGACACTGAAATTTTATCACCTTGAAAAGAGGATGAGTGAGGAGATAACAAAATATGCAGATAACACACAAATATCCAAGGCACTGAGAACAAGAACAACCATGCTGATTTTTTCTTTAAGGGGCCAAGCAGCTGGACAATAAGTTGAGAGATTAAATTCAGTGTAGATAAATGTAAAGTGATGCACGTGAGGAAAACTAATCTTTGCTTCACACAAAAATTATGAGCTCTGCACTGACTATTACCACTTGGGAGCAAGACCTTCATGTTATGAAGTATAGGTCCACTGAAAGCATCATGTTACTGTTCTATAGCTGCTGAAAGAGCAAAACAACAAAAAAATCCTTTGTTTGGAATTATCAGGAAGAGAATAGAGAACAAAGCAAAAACCATCATGCTGCAGTATAAATCCGTGTTTTGTCCATGCCTTGAATATTGTCTTCAGTTCTGCTCTCCTTATCTGCAAAAGGACGTATATAGGTTATAAGGACATAAAAGGTTCATAGAAGACCCACAGGGATAAATAAAAGCAGAAAAAGCTTGAGGAAGAGTCTGGAACTGTTTATTATGGAAAAGAGGCATCTTAGGGGTTTAGAGTAAAGGTCCAAGAAATCCTTAGCAACATAAAGAAGGTGGGCAGAGATCAGTCACTTAGTGTCACTTCCAACACTGGAACTAAGGACCAAAAAGCAAGAGGTGGGTTCAAAACCAGCAAAAGGAGTGAGTTCTTCATGCACATGGAGAGTACAAACGGAATTCCTTCCCATCGTGGCTATGAAAAAACTTATATGGGTGTAAAAAGAAGCCAGGCAAGTACTGTATAAATAGACAAATGCCAGACAGAACCTATACAACACCACAACAAACTAGAAAGCCTCAGAAAATAAACCTACAGTGACCTGAGCAGCTGCAGCTATAAGAAGAAATATCCTATTCATGGTCTGAACAATATAACATTCCTTTTGTTCTTATGCTCTGCCCTTAGCTCTCACAGACAGCCACCTACAGCTGCCTTTCTAGCTCGAAATAAGTGGTCTGTTGTTGATTATTCTGTGCTATGGGGGAGAAGAAAGTGGTACTAGTGATGCCCACATGCTAGAGACTGCATCCAATTCCACCCAGGCCACTGTGACTCCTGAGCTGATCAGATGCTTATCACCTCAGCATGAGCAGTTGCATCTCTATTTTATGGCCTTCTCTGAAAAAAATTTAATTTTAAAGTCCAAATTTTCTGCACATGCAAGTGTATGTTTGTATATTGGTTCATTAGTAAGTAAAATAAAGCACCATGTAAAAGCCAGGTCATAGTTGCCTACTCTAAGCAAAAGGGGTGGCTGAGGTGCTTCAGGAATACCAACACAGTAGCATTTCTTTTGCCATGCAGTCACTACATTTTTTTTTGGTCTCTTACTTCTGCTCTTTCTTTTAAGTCCCTTGTTAGTGGATAGATCCTGACTGGTGTACGAATGAGGCATCAACTTCCCTCTGTGATCTTCATGTTCTCTTTATTGTTTTGGACTCCTCACCTCTGCTTTCTGTATGCTAGATTTAATTGGCATTGGATCAGAATCAGAAAGACATAGGCTCAGTGTGGCAGATGGCAGGATATGTCTCTGCTAGAATTGGACATCATATTGCATCTCCAAAAAGGCTTTTCTAAGTATAGATAAGAGCTATATCTTCTCATTTTTAAGACAGCAAATATTGGCACTAAACCCAAAGAAATTTTTGTAGTTTGGGGTATCATCTATATCTACTATCACTGAAGGAGAATGACAAAAAAAATCTCTGGGGAGCAGCACAGCAAGTGATTCATTTTTTAGATGTATCTAATGCATAAAGTGATATTAGTTTAGAAAGCGTGCCATGCAAGTTCTGGTCTCTGATTACTGACAGGATAGGTAGGAGGAAAAAAAAAAACAGTGAGCAAGCAAAGCACGTCATATGTAATACCCAGTACTGCTCGTCTAGCATGCAATAATCATTCTCCCCGCACCAAAGAGTGGAGCAGATCCAGACCCACTTCTCAGCCACAAAATCCCAGTGTCCTGTGAGGAGGGCCTTGCATAAGGGGCTGGCATCATTCTGTGCAGTATATGAACAGTAGCTCATGTATCAGCCTCCAGATGACATAAGTTTAGTAGGAGCCTTTAGACTTGGCAAGATTTGCCTGGAGATTTTGGGAGCTTTTAGCTTCAGATTTAGCCCAGCAGATTTACCACCAAGAATAAGAAACTGTTTTTACCTCCCAAATTCCAGTACAGCAGAGACCAGTATCTAAAGGAGTAGTTATTGCTATCAAAGCTTAGTTGTTTACATCAGAAATACCATTTTATTCTCACCCCATTTCAACTGCTCTTTGGATGTAGTTAATGCCTTTAAAAAGGAGCCAAAAGGGAGTCCTTTCTCTGCTTGAACAAAAATCACTCCTTTTAGCTTGTGTTTTATTTCTGTTTTATCTGCATTTCAGAAGAAGTCCAACACTTTAAATAGCAATTTGGAATCACTGTTTCCTGCTGTATTTCTCTTTCAGTCAGGGCTGATGTATGTACATTCTGAAAGGACAATCCTCTTTTTTCTCTCCAGCTGAACATTAAACACTGCCAGAGCAGCAGAGCAGAGGGCCACTGGGAGGTGAGCAGAGCCTGCCAGCTAGGAAATCTGGAGAAAGTGTGATGCAATCCTCTTCTCAGCTACACTGCCTGTTTATTGACAACTAAAAAATACTTCCTCAAAGAAACTGTTTGTGGCATTCAGCCATATACCATGCATACCCTTCTGGAAAATAATGGACAAATAATACAGTATAAAGATCCTTTTAAAATTACAAAAGTCCGTCTCAGCCACTAAAATATATTGCCCTTTTCTATTCTGAATCTCTCCACTATTCAGAACAAATTCTTGACCACAGACGAGTATTTTACCCACACATCAGGTATTTCTTCTTTCCCCTATCTGTATATACTTGTACAACATATAAATACAGGAGAACAGATACATATATACCTGAACTTACAAACATCTTGTAGGTTTATTTTGGCATATTTTGTTATGTACATTTTGGAAAGACATTCCCAATTCTATATGTACAAAACCCAATGCCAACCAAGTGTCCTATCCAGATAAACACAATAAAGTCGAAGTTGCAGCAACCCAGTAATGGGATCCCAGTTCAGTCTGCCTGGTTCCAGTACAGGTCCCTCTCCCCAGTGCCAGACCAGGTCCCTCACCTCTTGAGTGATGAGGTAACAGGCCTTGAATTTTTTTAATTTCCAATGCATTATTACTGCTCTGTGCTTCAGCCTCTCCCATTCTCAAAAGCAGCATTTCTCACTGCTTTCCCTCCCCCACAAACAGTTTATGGACATCATTGACACTGGAAAGGCTCTGCTCCCTTCTCACACCCCACAGAGCTCTCACCTTTATCTTTGTTGGTCCCAGTGGGGTAAAGACATTTTCATACTTGTGGCCAGATGTTTCTCTGCTTAGAGTAGGCTCCTCTATGGATGCAGGTGGCCTTCCTGCTGCATGTTGAATCGATTCAGGCAAGGTCTTTGAGTGGGAGCTGGTGAATCTGAGGATGCTGCAGCTGCTGTTTGAAGCATCAGCTGGTAAATGTTTTCTCTCTGCAGGCACCAACCTCTGCTGCCAGCCTTGTTCCCCCTCATGACTAAGTATCCAATGCTGCACACACTTGGTACCAGGGGCTTTGTGCACCTACTGCTCTGTGGAGATAGGAGGCAGGGTGTTAGCATTGTGGAGCATTTTCTTGGAGATTTGAAGCCCAGACAGACTACACAAGAGTTTAATGCTGTCTATTATTGCCTTTCTTACAACTGCAGTCTGGCCTTTGAGATTGGTATTAAATGAGAAAAGGTTTCACAGCAACTAATTTTAGGCATCTGATTCACTCTCTGGCCCTGCCTCCCCTCCCTTCTCTTTACTGAGCTGAGGAAAAGCAGAGAATAAGGGGCAAGGAGCCCACATCCCACACAGCTGTACCCAGGCAACCCCAAGTGTCAACAGCTTCAAAACTGGGGCTCCCAGACATTCATCCTCTTCTGTGTCTGCCCAAATAGGTGCTGTATTTGTTTAAACACAGGGAACTCAAACACTGTGGAGATGCCCTGCCTCTGTGTCCATGAAGGAATGGCAGCCTGTGGGTATGGCCTGAGGACAGCTCCTGCCTGTACTGACATCTCCCTTCACTCCTGCCATAGAAAGGGCAGAGGATGGCACCTCTGGAATTTGGCTCCCTTGGGATGTTTCTCCAGATATCTTCTATTGGTGAGTACTCTGCTAAGACCTGCCATGCAACTGGCAAAGGCTCCTGGACCCTGGGCACCTCATTCCTCCTCCTTGTGGACTCCTTGTGGAGTGTGTGGACTCCTGACCAGCCTGGATTAAAGGATTCTTAAATAAAGGATCCTTAATTAAAGGATCCTTAGTAGTGCCATAGAATTATGTATTTGTTCTTCATATTTTTCAGGCTTATTTATTACTGTGTCACTGATATCTACAATTTGTCATTCAGAGCTCACATTTTCTCCACACCAGGCTGGGCAAACAGTGGGCTGACTCAGTCATTCCTTCTGCATCCTTCATTTCTCTAGCTAAAATAAAGATGTTCCCCTACACTTCAGTTGGTTCTTAGCAGCAACATAAATTAAGTAAAAATATTTTTTTAATTCCCCTTCTCTAAAATCTGTTGAACCTCCACCTCTTCAAGATGGCCACATGCTGTTCAGAAGTGATCCCTAAATCAGGAACATCCTTCTTTCCCTCCTGCTCAAACACTTCTATGTTAATTTTTAACAGACTTTCTTCACACATTCTGATCTTGAAGGAGCTGTATTTTCCACATTTCTGTTTTGCTTCTACCAAATGATGCTATTACAAAAACTGTTGCTTTCTTATTTCATTTAGACTGACTATCAAACATTAGAAAGTAGGAGTAAAACACAGGACATCCCAGGAGGAAACAAATGCTGGTAAAGAAGAGGAACTGGAAAAAAGAGCCATATAGAGAGTCTTCCCAGGGCATGAGCCAGAGAAAATGACCTTTCTGTTTCTCTTTATTTGTGCAGTATTTTAGATTTCTCTGTGACAGAGACATTTAAAACCCTAAAATTGCAGTGTCTCAACTCCAGGCAGTGTTTAACTCATTAAAAATCTTTCTCCCAAGCAGCTTGTGACCTATAGAGGTATCAAACTCTGTCTAACTCAGATTCTTTAAACTCACAAAACTATAGACTGGCACAAAACCAGGGCAGACTAATCTTACATATCCTACACCTTTGGCTCCTTAGTTTCTTCTTGAAGAAAAGAGTTCCTCAATGTTTAACTATGCACCCAGGAGCTCACTATCCTTCTCGATCTTTTAAATAAAACTAGGGATAGTTAAAGAAAGAAACACTCATATAACTGGAACCTCATATTACCTTACTCTGCCACCCCAGCTACACATTTGCTTCCCTAAGATCTCCAAAAGTATTTTTCTCTCTAATATTATTGTATGCCATTGTCCACAAGATGTCTTTAAATAGTACTGGTTTTAACTTTCCATAGAAAATTACTCTGGCTAAAAGTTCTACCTCTAAGTTCCGAACACACTGACACCAGGTATTACTTAATTCTCTTCCAGATTCTGTTCTTGATGAAATAATGACCTGTCCAGTAAGGTCCCAGCTATGGCAACTTTAGCCAGTGATCTGCCTCTACTTAAGGTGAAATGATTTATTTGCCATGCTGCATCCCATTCCTCATGCTCCTTTAAAAAAAAATAATTAAAAATTTAGCAAGAAATATTGTCTGTTGCCCAATGCACTGGCAGACAAGTTTTAAAATTAGACCATTAGATCTCTTTCTGTTGATAACTAAGGTTTATAAAATACTGGGAAAAAAAGCCCCAACTTTTTTTCAGAGGAATTAAGCTGGGTGGATAACTAGGTATACATTGGCATTTGATTTTAGAGTTTGCAGTAGAACAGTAATTTCTAATGAACAGCTTGCATATGGCAGTTCCTGGGATCTGCTTTTCTGCACATCATGTTCTGTTAAAGGGAGCCCTGTGACCCATGGCACAGAGAGATGTAACTGCTGCAATAGGGTTTCTGCCAGTGTGAAGCGTGAAGAGTCTGTTCTCCCCCAAAGTACAATATTCCTTGAGTTTCTACCTACAAAAATACACAAACAAAGAATATTTGTTATGAAAGCTCAGAGTTCACTGTGATAGAATCACCTTTTCATTGTTCTGTATTTGTTGCAAAAGCAGGAAACAGGGCCATGGTTAAACAAGTCAGAGAATGCACCTTAATTTCTTATTTTCTAGTCTGCTAGAAGAGTTGTCTCCTACGTTTACTTGCACATAACCTTAAGGAATATTCCCTGCTGCTGTGGACCTTTCCATCTCAGGACCTCAGAGCAGCTTTTCAAACAAGAACACGCTGCCTATCACAGAACCTCCGTGGTTCTCAGCAGTCCAGGTATCCCTTGGATCCCAGGCAATATGGAATCCTCAAGACTGCTCAAGGAGCTCTGAGGGCCTAGGTCACATCTACTTTTTCTTCTGTTCTCACGTATCTTAAGAATGAATCCTGACATGACTGATTTTTTAATAAAGAAAAGAATGACAATTTTTTAAGGCATTAAAAACTAAATTACCACTTTTCGTGTTCTTTTCCTGCCCTTTTAAGAGATAAAGGGGAAATATGAAAGAGAGGGATGGAAAAAGGAAAAGGGAGTTTACAGCACACAATCATAAAGAAAGCCAGAAAAATAACATTTTTTTCACCCAAGCTTTTAAACATGTAATAAATGTCACACTGACATTTTTACTTATTTAGTAAGAATTTTTGGCCATTTTGACCAATTCACTTGTTCAACTCAGGAGCATTATCAATAGTACATGAGTTTTATCTTGTTCCAGGTTTATGTGTTTTTGCAGAAGGAAGCTGAAAGGTTCATGGTTATTATGCTGATATTTAAAGCCTTTATTGCATGTTGTATTTATACTGGAAAGTTTAAACTTTTCATACTTTCTGAACATTACTTCCATTTCGCTTGTTTTTTTTTAAGCAAAAAGTAAATACGTGAGGTTAGTGAAAAACACAACAGCTTGGGAGTGGGGGAATATAAAAACCAAAAGGTAAAATTCTTGTTGTGACACATTTTTAAGATGCTTTCTCATACTCACATGATGGGAAGAATATAGGATGTGCAGAAGCCAGAGGGAGAACTTCTTAGTAATTATTCTGAGGACAGCTTGGAAATATTGTTTGCACAACTCTGGAGAAACTCTTTGCATTCCAGACTCATGATGAAAACAAATGAAAAAGGTGAGTAGTTTCTCAATTTTGTTCTGTTCTTCTCTCAAAAGCAAGAATGCCAATAAGATGCTGATGTTGTTTTTTTGATTCACATGGTGTCTATCTCTGAGGTGGCTTGGTCCTACAGAGCCACAAAATAAAGAGTAAAGAGGTACACTTGCTGAAGAGGTGGATAAGGAGACAGAAACTTGTCTGCCTCATTTTTTTACTTAGAGCTATAAAAACATTCAGAAGCACCTCTCTGCTCTGAATTCCATCTCATGAATTAAAATACCCAGTAATATGCAATACAGTAAGGACAGCTCATCACAATTCAGCACATAAATATTCAATACTTGTCATGAGGAAAAAATAAGTTGAAGGCTGTTCGTCTCTCAACCCAGCCTTCCCTAAGAACCTGAAGAAAAGACAAATTTTTAGGTTAAAAAGGCAAACTAAAAAGGAAAATGTCCTGAAAGGGTGGCAACAGCATCGAAGGCAGGGATACCACGTAGAGTGAAGCTTTCAGAAGGCCTTGCTCAGCATGGCACTTGCACATGGGCTTAGCAGTGAATGAGAGAATGATCATTTGGAATATTCAGAGCTATTCATACCTCTAAGTGCCTAAGGTGTTGCTCCTCCATGCATTCTTGGTCACAGTAAGGAACTTGAATTAAAGGTATCTGCTCTCCTCTTTGTCAGTGCAATGGAAAAAATAATTTCTAACGAGAATGAAACATAGATTTATATCCTGCGTGTTCCACAGTGTCTACAATGTCCTTGATAGAGCATTCTTAGCATTACTAAGAATGTAATTTCCAAGAATTTCCTACTCTGGAAACAATAGTTCTCTTTTGATCCAGCTCAGCATTAATGAGAAAAAAAATAATTTATAATTGTGTTGGTTCTTTCTGCAACTCACTGCAGTGGTAATTGTAACTAAAAAAAGCGGAGTTATTCTAGTTTATCAACATAAATTTTACAGCTGCCAGTTTTGATTAAACCAGATGATGATTTTTGTCTAGAAATGCTTGCTTCTAGGGGCCAAACAGGAGCTTCATGCATTGCTGGGTGAGTTGGATGACTTACTGAGGAGCCATCTCTGAGATCATCCATCTTAGGTGCTGGCACAGAGGTCACCAGCACGGTTGGTAACTTTTGGGTTTGCCCATGTAGTTCTTGGTTTGAGCGCACACTTGGTTGACTTCTCACTCAAATGAAGTCCAAGCAATTATTTCATGTTGTTGTTTTGCTAAATACCGTGAAAAGTCACAGGTCGCTTCTCCATAGCAGGCAATTCAAGCAGACCAGGACAAGAGCATGAAGTTAATTTGTGTCTACTTTACAAGACCTGTTACTTTCCACTGCCTTTTTGACAAATATTATCAAATGAGTGGAGAGGCATTTGTTTCAGGGCT